TGCTGCGTGAGATACTCATACATGTGCTCTAGTGCTGTCAGGTGACACACCGTCGAGAATGAGGCGTCACAACAGTGTCATCAAGCTCCTCAATCCAAATCTGCTGCTATAAACACATATCGCCGAGAGTGGCACATTCTGCAAACCTGATATCAATCTCCTGAATTATAGGAACGCAACGGCGAAGGATATTGCGGTTGCCGGCGAATACTGTACGGAAAGTCTGCACACAGGGAAGATAGAACGTTAATCAGCGGTTTAAATCGGGCGCCTCTTCGCAAGATCCTCACGAAACCGACAGACTTCCCGATCACCTAAATGCCAGTGGTCTTCGCTGCACGTTGCATTATCTACCCGCGCACTGAATGAAGCCTTCAGACGTTTGGACTCTCCAATTCCGACATCTCGAAACTAACTCTGGTGGCAATACATCTATAAAGATCCGCGGATCTCTGCCAGAGATAGGTCCGAGATTTCGAACTTGGAGAGTCCAAGTATCCGAAGGTTTCGTTCAGTGCGCAGGTAGACAGAGCCACGTGCAGCGAAGACCGCTGGCATATGGGTGATCGGGAAGTCTGTCGGTTTCGTGGGGATCTGACGAAGATTTGCTTCGATTTCAGCCGCTGAGTAGCATTCTATCTTCCCTGTGTACAGACTTTCCGTACAGTCTTCGCCGGCAACCGCAACATCTATCGCCGTAGCACTGCTATTATTCAGGAGAATGCAATCATGTTTACAGAGTGTGCCGTCCTCGGGAATGTGTGGTTACAGCAGCAGAGTTGGATTGATATTTAGCTTCATGACACTCTTGTGACTCCATATACTCCACGGTGTCACCTGGCAGCACTGGAGTTTATGGATCACCATCTCATTCTGGTCACATTGACCTCGACACAGCATATCCCCAGAACGTATCCTTCGATTCCTGCGAGCTTTGGTTGGGAGGACACTCGACTTAAGTTGGACACCTCGATGGAACAACCAGGAAAACACTCGATCAGAGTGGGAGAGCCGGTGATTAGCCCAGGTAGATTTGGCGAAATGACCACGGGCGCGACCCTCCGCGGAATTGTAAAGGGCGTCTCTCCAATATCTTTGACCGTCTTTTTCGAGGCCAAGACCTTGCAGCCCACTCGCGCTGCCTCAGCGGCGAGCCGCATGCTAGAGAAGACAGAAGGAATTGTATCGGCTGTTCTAACCACAGGTTCTTTTGAGCTGAGCACATTGTCCAGGCGTCGGCGATTTACACTAGGGACGAGAGTTTTCAGGTATGGGACACCAACGTCCTCGTCACGAATTTTAGCATAGAGGAAGGAGGGTGGTGTGACGGTCGAAAGTTTAAGCCGAGTTCGTAGCATCTGTCGGATTTGCACATCAAGCCTCTTCAGTGTGTTGCGATGAGTAGTTCCGAGGTCCAGTTCATGCGGTAATTTGGGAACACACGACTGTTTCAGCAAAGAAAATCGCTGTTGAGACTTGAGCGGAGCTTGAGATACTTCAGTGGTCATGTCATGTAAGACCGGCAGATGATGGATAGGCAGCTTCGCGCGGTATGAGAAGGGGACACCCAGGTATTAGAAGGTATCCCGGGGCCCAAGCGAAGGCAGAGCCGTTCCAACTACAAGAACGTTGCAGGGTCGGCGACAGGAGCTCTTCTGCTTTTCGAAGGCTTGTATGAAAAGGAAGGTGAATCCTGACGGGTTATAATTGCATACCAGCAAGTGCGATTCCCTCGGCCAAACCATCAAGGCGTACCTGTAGTCGATCTGGATACTGAGCAGTGAGGAATAAATCATCAGCGCATGCAAGGCAGTCCACGGCGGTTTCACAAATCTCAAAACCCAAATGTCTGTCAGAGTATGAAAGAGCTTTGGATAGAGTGGAAGAGAAGAAAAGGGGGGAGTGATCACCTTGGCGCACCCCGCGCAATCATCGCACGTCTGTGAGCCTTTACTACTTTCCGAATACACTAATTTTCAAATACACTTGCAGTATTCAAACTACATGCTGTACCCATTCTGCCAAGAAGTTTCATCAATTTCTGTAAACTATGAAGAAATCGTCGCATACTGCTCATAAAATTTCGTCTCGTAGTGCAATTACGTCTAACGTTTGTGACAAGGTAACGGAGGTCTATGAACGTAGTTCAACCAAACATGCCTACTTTAGCGCAGTAAGCATGCAGTTGTGTAAATTAAATAAGGCTATTGTGTTACCCAGAACTTCATAGTCGACTGACTGTAACCTTGGGAAATGTCTAAGAAACCATTTGGTTGTCTATGGCGCATTACAAAGTGCGTGTGTACAAAACGAATTTATTTTAACATATCATGGATTCCTTCGAAAGGCCGCAGGCTTCGTTTATAACTTTAGAATGCTGGCGTACCGCTCCTTTTCGTGTGTACATTGAATGTGCAAAGCCCTACTTTTTGCAGCCCACCTTAACATAATAATTTCGCTTGTGCCACTTAGTAGACTGTGGACTGTGGGTCACAGCTCAGGTTCCATGTGATAGCACATGCAGTTGATTGGCGACCTGACTAAATTTCAACCATATATCTGAAATGCGTCTTTTGTTCGAAAACAGGGTTACTAAGGAATAGTTTAAATTTTTATTAGCATGCAGCCCGTGGCATAAGATTTAATTCACGCCAGGAACCTTACATCAAATTAATCAGCAAAACTGACTTGTAGGGCCCCAACTGCTTAACGTTTTTGTGATTAAACATGTAATTATTGGCTAATGAGTTTAAATTAATATTTTATCGTTGCGGAAGTCAACACAAATTATCAAATAAAATAAGATGATGTTTGTTCTAATGTGCTCTAATAGAGTAAAATTCGATAAAAATAAATGTATGTTGCGCAGGTTACGAATGCCGTAAGTAGGCGGAATTTAACGAAAAAATCAAAGTTTGGGCTACTGAACACTTAATAGTAGTTTTTTATTGTAAGTCGACGGAACTTTTGGGGCCTTTTAAATCAGTCCTGCCTAGAGAGTGATGGCGGGGTATGTCGCAATCGAATTTTATGCTTAAAAAACGAAGGTATGTTTGAATTTGCAAAAAAATGTTTACAAATCCCGAAGAATTAAACGCCCACCTGTGCCTACGCCAACATTCCTGGTTTCCAAACTACATGCTGGACACAGATCGCTTTACCGGAATTCCCTTGCCTTTGCCGGCAATGCTATCTGCCTAGACGACTCACCGCTCGCCGACTGCGGGTGGGACTGCCCCGAGGCAGAGCGGCACGAGTGATTTCCGTCAGCAATCGATTAACATTACTGACCGCAGCATGACTTTTCGGGGATAGAACCCACATTTCTAGGAGATTTTAGTCGAAGACCACCATCTGCTATGAGGTAGGCACGCAAATGCCCATTCCACAAACGAGTAGCGCTTCAAGTACATTATATGGCAAATATGTTATACCGTACTGCTGCATATGTACACGCTGCGGCTGTGTGATAGGGGGACGAATGGTACGCTACCTCACCGGGGTCCTCGTCCCTCCTTATAAGACTTTGCGAGAGAGGAATGATATATTAAGAATGGAAAATCCTAAACTTTCAGCAAAAACGGCTACATTTACGAAGACAGGTAAATAAGGGGTCATGGTAAAAGGTCAAAGGTCATGTAATACTCAAAATTAAAAGTTACACGATATACACATCTACTATGGAGACAGGTCAGCTTTCAACTTCTCAAATTCCGCTTCTTCACACGTGAGTTAGCGTGCTAGGAATGGGAGTACAGAGTGCTGATATGCCGATGTACAGTAAGGCATATGCGGGAGCCTCGGCGCATTGTACCGGAGGGCTTCGCAGCCATTAGTTCAGAGTGGAGAGGGAGAGCAACCTCACTAAGGATGCGATCAGCGAATTGCTTGACCGTTTTAAAGTGGCACTGTACTATAATGTCAGCTAAAAAACAAAGGAAACACCGGCTTCTGAAGAGAGTATTCGGAGGATACGTTTAAGAGTGACCAAGTCTTTTTAAGTAAAGCTGGAAAAATAACTTGAGAGCAGTAAAGAATGAGGGGCAGAATGCAGGCATCTATAAATCGCCAGATTAGGGCTTGCGGTGTGCGACACGAAGGCAAGCGGCGGATATAATATAAAAGTTTCAGGAGTTTAATAACAAGACATTCTATATGAAAAGCGAATGTAAGATTCGATGTCAAAGTAACACCAAGGTATCGGAAAGAGCATACCTCTTTGGGCATAATGTCAATAGTTTCAAGAGCGAGAGACGGTCGCAGTCGACAAAATACACTGGACTGACTTCCGCTCGTTAAGTAGAAGGCCATTTGCTGACGACCATGTTGAGACGTGGGCCAGGCCATCCTTTAGTAATTGGAGATGTGTCAGACTTTTAAGAGGATGAGCGAAAACCATACCATCAGCATATTTAACAAACAAACATTCATATGGCAATTGTAGGTCGTCAGTGTGGAGAGAGAAAAGATGAGGGGATAATATATACATTTGGAGAACTCCACAGTTGTTGGGAAGGACCGTGGATTTTTACTTGCCGCATCGAACGAATTGAGTGCGGGAAGTGAAATAGTCCCCAAGCCAAGAGACAGCCCTGCCAGGAGAGCTGCATGCAGAAGTTTTATTAAGTATAAGATGGCGCAGGATCGTATTAAAGACTGAGGAGTAGTCGAGAGAAGCAGCCCATATCTAAATCTCTAAGAGCAGAATGGACTACCAGAGAAACAGCGTCTAGTGCACTGCGCCTATTCTTATACGCAAATTGCAAGGGATCGGAAAAATCGGAAGAAAACGGCGTGATGATGTCTAAGGCAACTTGTTCTGTAAATGTCAATAATGCAGAAGAGCAGGCACTTGGATGAAAGGATTTTGGACCAGAAGGGGAGGGTTTTTTCGAGATGGGGGTGATTCTCACTGATCGCCACTCATCAGGAATCTTAGACTTAAGAAGGGATACGTTGATGAAGTTTGTCAACGCAGGGGTTAGCTAAAAAGCACAGGATTTCAGGAGAAACGGTGAGATGCCATCTGGCCCGGCAGTTGTTGAACCTCGCACCTTTTTATGGTGTTTCATCACTGTTTCCAAAGACACTTGGTAATAAGGAAATGGCGTTTGTCGGAAGATGGGAGTCAGTAGGAGTGTGGATGAAATTTGCATTCAAACGGTGCAATTATATGTCAGCATCTGTATATTCTACTGTATTGCGTTAACCAGCGAGCCACTTATGACTCTTCCAAATTTCCTCCGAGGAGAGAGTACAGGAAGATGTAGAAGAAGTAAAAAGCTGGCTAACAGAAAGGTCGTTCAGTCTGGAAATCTCACGCTTTAAAAGAACGTTCAAATCATTAAGTCTATCTCGTAGACCCAGTTTGTAGAGCAATTCCTTTTGACGTCTCAAAGATTTTAGATGGGGAGAAGAAATTCTGCCAGGTCTAACCATAACAGTGTCAAGAGTGCAACGTATAGTAAAAATTTCATTTAAAAAAGTGGTTAGAAATCTGTAGCGCAAATCGAAGTTCGGGTGTTCAAGAAGGACAGGAAGGTCGTCAGATTTGACGGTCTGGAGGAAAAAAAATTATGTGAGGACGTGTCGCGGATCTTAACTTTCCTCTCGGGTTTTGCTCACAGCCCTTTCTTAGAACTACAATAGATGTTTGGCAGGCCCAATAAAACAGAATGAGTTGAGCCTGACAGCGGAGCTCTATTTTTGGCAGCAAGAAGTTTGGGATACTTGGTCGATATGTGATCAAGAGGGGCGTTAGCACGACTGTTAAAGGGAACTAAGTCGTCAAAACCTAACAATGTAAGAGGGCGTAGATTCACACGGTTGAAGTCACCACTTAAAATAATAACATGCTCGCAGGACAGTAGGGCAAGTTTTACGGAAAGAAAATCAAAAAACCGGACTAAAGCACCTTGGCATGTAGATGGGGGAATATAGATGCTGGCATAAATAATGCATTTAGAATTACTTAAAAATCGAAGCTTACATACTACAGCAGTACTTGTACTAGTACTTGTTACGGCTGTGATCATGCCTGATCTAGCCGGCCTCAATGATGTCA